TATGCGTGGTCAGCGTGATCTGTCAACGGTGTGCTCTCGACCCGGACTTCATGCTGGTAGCAGAAGTTCGTGCCGGGACCGAGCTCGAAGTCGCCTCCATCAATGCCCTAGAAAACGGACCGTTAGTTAGTTGCTCGGAAGTGCAAGGGACATAAGATCCAGACGAAAAAGAGCTTCAACTTACGTTGAGACGCCAGACAATCTTGCCTTCCTTGGAGATAAGGAAGATGTTGCAAGAGTATCGAGATGAGACGATATAAGAATCCCCGGACTTGTAGACGGAGTTAACGTGGATGTAATTCCATGGGTCCTTGGATGAAGTTCCAGCTCCCTCAAGTGGCTTCAGGGAGAAGGTGACCGGGATCTCATCGAGGTGTTCGGCCGCACTCCAACGGAAGAGAACGTCATTAGTCTTGATGTCCATTTCCAAAAAGCCTCCATCGACAACCCAGCCCTTCTCTGGCCCACCAACAGCTCGCAGATCTGCCTCAGTGACATTGACAACTGTCACGACGATGGTTCCTTGGTCTGTGATCTGGCCTTCGTGATTGTCCATGTATGATGGGAACGTCTTGGGCTCGTATATCGTCTTGTAATATTCGTTATCGCCGCCGGGCAGAATTACCTCGTGGATCTTCTCATACGAGCTGTCGAAGATGCTCATAGATCCCAAACCGAATCCAGTCTCGTTCGCAAATCCGAACCAGCTGACCATCACTGGCTTCCCGTCAAGAAGTTGAGGCTTGAAGCCATATGTGCTCGCGTCTTCGGGTCCCTTCCACACAACCTGGCCATTGTCGTCAAAGATAGCTGGATGTCCAATCTTTCGTGCCTTATCTCTAGGACTAAAGAAGATATAGCCCGGCTCTGTTTGGCCTTTCTTCGTCACATTGAAAAATGGTGTCTGGATATCTGTGCTCTGGAATGTCTGCACCGGCCAGAGGTTTTCAGGAGGCGACTGTGCAGATACAGATGCTGCACCAAGGCAGGTGGTCAGCAGAGTAGCCAGGCAGGAGCTGCTTAGGGTTTTAAGGCGTAGCATCTTGAGTCTTTTCTTCTTTTCTCAAGTTCTCCCAACGGCCACAGATTCGACTGCAGTTCTTTCTCTCCAGGATAATTACACAGTAGGCCAGGAGAACAGCAGGGTATATATATATGTATGCCTACACAATGGTGGAATGGCACCCTGCCTGTATTTAAGGCATAATACGGAGTATTATTCAAGTTTCTTCCCTTATTTTCGTGGAATGCCGAGTTAGAGCGTCGATCAGTTTGAGGTTCATCACTGCTGGAGCCCTACCCCGGCCGAGAGCTCTGAACGGGTCGATCCCGGCCTCTACGATTCCTCATATCAAACCCCGGTCTTGCAAGGTATTGTGGCAGAAGGCGGCGATCACAATACTAGAGGCGCCGTTTACACTGTTTGCTCATCCGACTTCAAACATGCCCGGAGCCACCTTCATCAACCTCTAATTAACGGAGAGCTGGCTCCAAGACACTCAAAACGAGAGATTGTCCAGCCTGCCGTGTTCATCGGTTCGTTATAATAACAACACTGACGTTGACGTACGCACACTATAACACCCCCAAGGGTATATATCAACTGCAGGATCTATATATATTTGAACAGCACTCCCCTGTCCCGAAGACAGCCAAGCTTCCCGCCATTAACCTCGCCTGCATGTAACCCAGGCATGACAGGCCCGATACGTGGCTTTGTGCTTCTTCTCAAGCCACCCTCGTATCACCGACTGACAGGCACACCCGCTCCTCTTCTAATTGACTCCCAACTGACAGATAGAAGCCCCAGGGAGCACCGCTTCTCCATTACACACTCCGCCGTATAAAAGAATCTGTTTGTCCCCCCAGTTCGGCCAAGTAGTTCTGTCGTCATCTTGGTTTTCGGTACTCGGAATTCCGATGGCAAGTGCTCCATAACTAAAGTGCCCGGGACGATTAGCCAGCACTTCTCCTCGAGTGTTGGCGGGCTTTGCAACATCGTATTCAACAGAGCCGAGCAAGCCAAAGACCGTAATCAAGTGAATGTCTGTCAGCAATGGCCTTCAATGGGATACTTCTGATATCCGAGGTGTACCTTTGCTGTCTCCATGGTTATCCTGTGGCAATGTGATGTCCGTGTGTAGTAAATACCCAGATACCGGACATGCAGCATTATCAGCTACAGTATACTTCCAACGCAGCATATTCCTCTATTCGGTCTTGCGGTGAATACCTTGCAATCATCTGCCTCAACCATTAGTACAAATATACTATGGTGTCTAGGATCGATCGTTCAGCGTCCAGCTTTGTGCTTCTTAGCGGGTATCTGACTACATCACCAAACGATCCTACGGAAAGATAATGGAAACGATATGCCATTCTGCTAAAAGGGTGAACATATATTCAAATCAGCCAAGGAATAACGAGACCATTGGGTCTAATGCAAAGCGTCAAATCCAAATGGCGATATATCAACAGATCACAATACGGGCCTTAAGTCTATGTTTGGAATGAGTACGCGGAGAGGTCACTGTCAAAACATAATTTCATCGTGCCTAATTGGTTGATTGATTATTCTAATTAATGATTAGTTTACTGGATGGATTTTACACTCTAGGGTTTGATACGAATATATTTCTATCCGATCTAACTTGCAGCTCTAGGTAACGTCTAACATGTATCATTGACTGTCCGTGTACCGTGGCTCTAGATTACCTACGATCTTAATATCCTTTATGATTTAACTTCCAACCGTCACAAGGAACGCTGACCTGGCTAGATGTTACCTTTTTATATCATCTTCCCGGCTCTACATCTCATTGTCGTCTCAGCTTTCTATGCTGAACTTCCCAGAAGTACAGTTATCATCCATCGAACTTCTATCACTCGAAAACTTCCTCACAGGTCCAGATCATGGACGACGTTCGTCATCCATCGTGTCTTTTAAGCTATGAACGGTTCCTATTGTTTCCTCCTATACCAACTACAACGCATATCACTATAAAACTACGCTATCATTTTCTCACAGTTAAAGGCAGTGTTGAAGTCTACTAAAGAGGTAGTGGTAGGACAAACTGCTGCGGACGGAGGTACCACGATCCACTGTTCATATAGGCGTCGATGGCAACCGAAAGTCCTGCTTAGTATGACTGAGGACATATATATCTCAGCTTAATTCATCATTGTAATATAAGGGTAGAATTGGATTTTTTATGAATTATAGTCCAAGATGATAGTTTTATACATTCTATCAATATGTACAGTTGTGGGTATAATGCAGATTTACTCGTTAGGAAAGTCTTCGTGTAGCCACGGATCACTGAGCAGTTCTTTTGCGGTACTGCGCTCCTCTGGTCTCTATTTAATCATCGCTGCACAAAGTTGATGAATCTTCTCTTCCATTCTCCACTCATATTGCAGATCGTATTTTGGAAAGTGAAGTCCTCCGGGATCAATGATGGATTTTGCAGAGTCCCTATTGTATGTCTTAGGTTGTGATCAATCATGTTGGCATTGGACAAGCACTTACCATCTGACTTGTAAAACATTGATGTCCGCTTGCCCTTGTCAAGTAGGTCTTTTGGCGGAGGACCTAGGAGTGCAGTTATCAACGCGAGGTGTTGTTCATCATAATACTCCTCAACATGTAGAGGGTCGACATCTTGGAAAAGGGTTCTGCCTTCAAGGAAATCCCACAGCTTTGTCAATTAGCTCAAACGTTAGAAAAACGGGACTGCGAGAGATCAACACACCATGACTCCTAAGCTCCAGATATCAGCACTATAGCTGTATCCTTTATCTAGCACAACCTCAGGCGCCCGGTATACCTCTGCCTGGATACACCCATCATGGTTAACAGGACCATCGCCACGCACTGCTAAGTCAAAATCCAAAATTTCAATAAGTCCGGTAATTCTCTTTAATGGACCCAAATTTCCTGCGAGAGCGATATATGATGCGCCCATCCTCGTTATGCTTCTGAGGCAACGGGTTATTATATTCTTCTTTGGCAGAGAGGGAAAGAAGAGTAGTATCTTCCAACTTCACCATGATATTATCCGGTTTGAGGTTTGAGTCTTGGTTTAGTAAATTTCTCGAGCTATACATCTAGCGAAATGCCTACCAGTGTGAATAATATGGCATTCGGAGTGTAAATAGTCGAGTGCTTGGAGAATTATCTGGAGCACTATTCTGAATATCTCCGGGGGCATCACACCATCTTCCCATCTTCTACAGTAGCGCCCAAGGCTTTCCCGTAGCGGCTCAAAAACAAGACAAGCGTGAGGTTTCTTCGAAGTAGGATTTTGGACAAGAAATGTGTCAAGTAGATGACGAGTGAAGTGCCAGCCTATATGTCGGGGATTCGCTGTCGAAATATGACGAAGGATGTTTATTTCAGAGTCCCCGGAAAATTTACGGGTATCATGATTGGAATTTATCTTCACTGCCACATACTTTTCCTCGAGCCAACGCCATCTAGGAGGAGTTAGTATGTTTAGATTAAATGCTAAGGTTGTCGGGGCCACACCGGTGAAGGTCTTTAGCAAGCCAAACAGTCGCTCTACTACCATGGCCCAACTTATTCACTAATTGGTAACGATTGTGGAGAACCTCTCCTAGTCGTGCTGGGTAAAAGTATAATGGGTCATAATATGGTGAATTTTTTTCTTCAACTGGTTGGCTTAAGTCCAACTTTGGGGCGATAGCTGTCGGGTGAGGCCAGGCGGGTTGTCGAAGAAGCTTAAGAGGGTTAAATACTAAGCTGAGAGGTCGACGCATGGTATTCATTGAGAAGCATATCTTCGTTCAGGTGGCTTTCGAACAAGATAGTATATTGACGTTGGTTGTACTCCGTACTGCGATTGGTAAAGCCCTGGATTTTCGTCAAATTAAGTCTTTAAACTAACTAATTAACTGGTTAACTGGTTAACGAATTAGCGGCTTGGTGCACTTGGCTATTTTTAGAGTAGTTCAGGGGATGATAAATGTAAGTTGACAAGCTGTTTAGTTGACCTACTGGCGAACTTGATAGCCAGCCAACTCAGCGATAATTACCAGTAAACATGCTCACGTTGACAACATCTGTAACATGTTCGGGGGTGGCTATATTCAGGAGCTAATCAGGAAACTGTTATCCTTCTCCCGACCTTTGCATGATACTGGATTCGTTCACTCGAAGGAGTTATGCAGCGAATCACAGGGATAGATCTCTTACTTTGCTGTCGTTTTCATGAGTTCATAAAGAGGAGCAGATTGATAACCCCTGGGAAAGTGATCGTTGATATGTGATTGAATATTTGGATCTGAAACTGAATTTGCGTCATTATGATTGGAATCTAAAGCAGTTGCTCGCCATACGAATGCCTCACCTCTCAAGCCTCATCCATAAGTTAGTTGGCCAAGTCGAACTTCAATTATATATTGGTGCAGTAAAGGTCTAACAACAATATTGATAAACACTTGCAGCTATTATCTCATTCTAATTTCTGACGCCTTGAACTGGCACTGATGAGAGTACAACTTGTTCTCCCTGGAAATCCCAAACCCAGATTTTAACTTTTATACCCGACTTAAGGTTGCGACCGGGCCGGCCTTTTCTTGGCGCTATGCCATTGGAACTTTAAACGTGTCATCTGAATAACACGTGACTGTATGTTTTCCATTCTACCAGAGGCCAACAAACGACAGAACAGGAACAACTTCGTATCTTGCCTTGTAACGTCTGAGGCGCATCGGCGAAATTTCAGCCTGTCATACTAAGGTCGAGGGGGTTTTTCACACTCTTTATCCTGCTACATTCTGGTTTGAAGCGAAGGCCGAACATACTGTGATTCTATTTATGGTTTGCTCGTCTCTGGTGCCTTAAGGGATGATCATCGTATTGCAGACCCTTAGTTTAAGGCTGAGCACGCCTCATCCTTCATGTGTAGTCTCTCTTTCTTTATTTCATGATAATCTATTTCAATAAATTCTACTGGCCATTTATGCCGCATTTTCCACACAATTCCCTTTATTCGATGAAACCGGATATCAGTTGGTTTAAAGCTATTTACAGCATCTGGTGCCAACGGCTTTGAAATGCAAGTGCCGCCGTCAAGCTTGGGCTCTCCGACATGGTAGCACGAGTCGGCTTATACCCACCATTCCATAACCCTGGACTTGATATCCTCAGCTTCTGTGTAAGGCTTAATAGGGATATTTGGCCTTTTATTTGCCTATCTCCATTGGCCCCTTTACCACCAACGTCAGCATGTTATGGGAATTCATTCCTTCTTAAGCAAATTCTTGCGGCCCTCGAAGCCAAGTATCTGCATAATGGGACAGATTCTGCGCGGCAGATCCTGTCTTTAGCATCCTATAGTTGGGGTTGTCGTCTTCCTTAGCATATTGGTGTACTACATCGCTGCAGACTGGTCCGAGCCATGACATGTGTGCCTGTTTCAAACGAGCACCATATCTACTTTTCATCCCCCACAGAAGACGAAACCATTCTGGTATTTGGAGTCTCTTCAAATTTTGGTCGAGCGCATGTTTCAGACACCTTTCTGCGTATGGGTCTTCCCCCTCATGGCTTATATTTTCCTTGTTGGCAGCAAGAAGATCTGTACTTCACTGCCTCATATACCTCTAAATATACTGAAAGGAACTCTTTTCTAGTAACAATCACCACTTACTAGCAAATGAAGAAGGTAGCCAGAGCCCTGATATATATGTAATTGTTCGCATCTGGGCTTCCATCAAAGTCATTATCTATTTCCCTTCCTTCCTTTTCCCCCTTCAGCCTCATCGTATGAGTCTGATGCTCTCTTATCTCTCTTATTTCCTTGATATCTCTATTTCCTATTGATAACGCGTGCTGGGTTCGCGTGCATATATACCCACTTATATCTCTCCGCACTCTTGTCTAGACTATAGGCTAAAATTCGTGACGCAAGACAGATTCTGTGCTTCCTTTTTTCTATATCCTGGCTCTACTTCTCTTCTCTTTCTTCTACTTTGCTCCCTCTAAGCTTCAAACAAGTCTACTTTGCTCTCTGTGTTTTGTTCTTCGCGAGCTTGTTCTCATTTTCTTTTTGCTTCTCCTTTGTGTTTATTTCCATTAATCGCGGCCTTCTTCCTTGTCTCTGTATAATTTTGTTTTTACTGAAAATGGCACCGATTCTTGATCACTTAACGGCTCCCATCGCCCTTTCGGCGCGATCGTTTGGACTCGGTGGTCCAGCTTCTAGCATGGTTATCATCGATATTGTTATGACGAGCGTTGCAGTTGCTCTTGTGGTGAACCGCGTTATTGTTCGGCTGGTGACAAGCGAGAAGCTGGCATCGGATGACTTCGTTATTATAGGATCGTTGGTAAGTCTCCTCAGGCTTGTTTTCTAGATTCAAATTGCTGATTGAATACGTGTATATGTAGATCATTTGTGTTGCCATGAACGTTGTCAACGTTGTGGGTACGTTTCAGATCCAATGATATATGCATACCGCGTATCTAACCTCTGTATAGCTGTTAATCATGGCTATGGGCGACCTTCATTTGACGTGCCCGAGGATGACTTGAAAATAGCTCTTGAGGTCAGTTGCTGTTAATGACAGTGGCTTTATATACGTTTGGACTGACTCATATTTACCATTATAGTTATACTTTGCCCTGCAAATGCTTTATAGAGTGACTATAAACATGACGAAGCTTTCAATCCTGCTCTTATACCGCAAGATCTTTGATACCGAGAGGTTTCGATTCAAATTTATCTGCGACGTCCTATTCGTCTATATCATGCTTTACACGGTCGCCACCTTTATAGTCACGATTTTTCAGTGTGACCCGATCCCAAAAGCCTGGGCAAGATATTTACCAGGGACTTGTGTCAATCTTACTGCTTTCTGGTATGCAAACGCGGCATTGCACACCTTGACGGATGTCATAATCCTGCTTCTCCCAATTCCAGTCATTAAGGGGTTGAAGTTGCCCCGACGCCAAAAACTTGCATTGAATCTGGTATTCGCACTAGGGATATTGTATGTATTCCTATATCCTACCTTATGGTGAAAACCAAGGATAACTTGACTAACTCTCGCCGCTTTTCAGTGTCTGTGGGACTTCTATTGCACGTATGCTTACCCTTAATACGTCTTCTAAGGCGAGCGACGTGAATGAGGGAACGATACTTTCAACGTTATGGACAACCATCGAAGCCAACACAGCTATTATCTGTGCTTGCCTGCCAATGGTTCGGATTCCTCTGTCAAAGATTATTCCGTCCCTGTTCCCTACGTTTCAGTACAGTGACAGCATCTCCGACACTAGTAGTGAGGCTTCTACCACCAAATCTAATAGCCCATTTATTACTACATGGTGCTCACTACGAAATTCACGAAGCTCTTCTATATCTGAAACGCAGACGATGTTATCCAATTCTTACGGCCTCGCAAATATCATATTCCCTACTTGGGGATAGGACCATCAATTCTTACGGCGACAGGGTTCTCTTTGCCACTTCTCTTTTCTCTCTCGGCCTCCCTCCTTTTAGTTTTAACTATGATTACTCGACTTTCAAGGTTCCGTTCTTCAGGCTGGTTTTATTTGGTGAGGTGCATGTTTTACGATAGTTAATGCTCATGTTTCTCATGTTGGGCTTGTTTTGGCGTTTAGGGGAACAGTACGGGGATGAATGAGATGTACGATGATGATTCAACTGGCAGGAGTTATTGGAAGGTAGCGCTGTTTCAAGCCATGGTTTCAGAGTATGCGATACGATATGACACTGGTATAGGGGGTTAATATGCATGTTTTCTAAAATCATTCATCATGGTCTTTGCATTTTTTACCTTTGATTTTCTGCCTTTGCTTATCGCTTATCGTTTCTTGCTTATCAAGGTTATCAATCGCTGACTAAGCAGCCAAAATTCGCGACACAATTTCTTGCCTTTCGGGAGGATTGAGACTGATATTCAGCCAAACAGCAGCTGATTTTTCATCGCGCTCTCAGGATCATGGGCCCAAAAAAGGGCGGTGGAAATCGTGCTGGGCCCAAGAAATCCTCGAGCTCGCAGCCAGCAGAGATCTCCATATCGGATTTTGTTGCTGCGGGCGAGAAAAATGAAGCTAAGAAATCGAAAGCTGGAGCTAAGTCCAAAGGCAAAGATGCTGGAGGGGAGGCAACGAACAATCCAGAGGAGCCCAAAAAGCCCTCCGTGAGGGCTGTTATAGGCGGAGCATCATGGACAGGTAAATTGCCTGTTAACATGCTTTCGGAGCATTGTCAAAAGCAGAAGTGGGCAAAGCCTGAGTACACAATGGTAAGTTGTTATATATTGGATGCCTGCTATGTTTTATCATGATGATACTGACGGAATAGGCTAAAAACGCAGATGGTTTTCTGGCATATGTGACATTGAAAAAGGTTAACCCTAAAACGAACGACACAGTGACACTACCCCCATTCCGTTTGCCTCCCTCCCACAGGAAATTAGGCACACAACCGACAGCTGTGGAAGCCCGCCACTTTGCTGCTGCCTACACTCTGTTTCGAGTATGCAATATGCGGAATTTGCATATGATGATGCCTCCAACTTTTCGTGATTTATGGAAAGACCAGTTTGCCGCACTTAAGGCTGAAGATGTTAAACAGGGAAATGGCTGGATGTATGAAGCTGATCCTTTCACTACGTTCCAAGAAAGGAATAATGCCGTCGCTGAACTTACACGGCGGAAGGAACAAAAAGCGAAGGAACCAACTAAACAAAAAGAGGACCGTGTCCAGCTCGGGCTATCGTCCGGTGGGGGTAGCGGCAATGGGAATACAGGGGGCCGCTGGCTAAAGGCGCCCAGAATTGATATGGGTGACAAAGTGCGTGGGAGAGTTGAAGAACTGATTAGGAGGAGAGCTATCTGGAATCCGTATGGGATTGAAATATCTGAAACTGGAAGAAGAAACATGATGGATGAGTTTGTTAAGCTTGGCTTCCGAACCAGCCATGTTGAAGAAGCACTTTCAGAATGTAAAGATAGAGAGGAAGCTCTTGAATGGCTACTCATCCATATACCAGAAGATGACCTTCCTCCGTGGAGTTTACCTGAAGGGTATACCGCTGGCATAACGTTGGCAAGCAACGACCTTGCAAGAGAGTCTAAAATAAAACGACTATCTGCTGCTGGATACTCTGCAGATCTCTGCAGCTCAGTTCTTGATAAGTATGAAAACGATGAACGACTTGCGGCGGAAGCTCTGCAACATTTGTTGATCTACAGTCGAGATCTTGATATTGAATCTGACACTCCTGTCAACGATAATGCTATTTGGGAGGAAGAGCATCAAACGTTAGAGGCTATTTTTGATACCAAATATGAAAGGCTATCTAAACACGCATGCCAAATCATGTCAGAAAATGGGACTTTACCATCTATTACATACTCTTTCTGGAATCCAGCGAGAGCTGTTTACCCTGAAAGCCCTCCTGTTGTGGCCATTGTCACAAAGGAAATACCTGCATATATCCGACTGAGTGCTACGCGACAAGCAATACAGCATGCCCTGGCCGATCTTAGGGGGGAGCCAATGTTATTTAACATAATTGACTGGCTGAATGAGAACCTACCTTGCATTTTGGAGAATCCTGGGAAGTTACGAAGCATTTCTGTGGAGGCCGGTGACAATTTGAATGGCGAAAAAGATTTACCTCGTACCTCTAATCCAGGATCAAAGTCAAAGTTGGCTAGAGGAATGGCATCTCGGCCTAAGGGCCCTGCTAGTAATGACATCCGGCGTAGCTGGGAGGCCAAACAGACTACACCTGAGCAGCAGAAGATGCTCAAAGCAAGACAAGCTCTGCCAGCGTGGGATATCCAAGATGTAATTCTGGACGAAATTCACTCACACCAGGTCACAATTATCTCCGGTGAGACTGGTAGTGGAAAAAGTACTCAATGTGTCCAGTTTATATTGGATGATTTGATACGGCGAGACCTTGGTTCGTCAGCAAATATAGTTTGCACACAACCACGAAGAATTTCTGCCCTGGGTCTTGCCGATCGCGTTAGCGCAGAGCGATGTTCAAGCGTCGGTGATGATGTTGGTTACATTATTCGAGGAGATTCAAAATCAAAACCAGGTGTAACTAAGATTACATTTATGACCACCGGTGTCCTGCTACGACGTCTGCAAACGGCCGGCGAAAGTGTTGTTGAAGCTTTAGCCGATATCAGCCATGTGGTTCTTGACGAGGTCCATGAGAGAGGTCTGGATACCGATTTTCTCCTTGCCGTACTGAGAGAAGCTTTGAGAATCCGAAAAGACCTGAAATTGATCCTGATGAGTGCCACTCTGGACGCCAATATGTTCATCAACTATTTCGGTGGGGATAAGCAGGTTGGAAGAGTCAATATCCCGGGTAGGACGTTCCCTGTTGAGGATATATACCTGGATGATGTGCTCCGAAGCACCGGCTTCGACTCAAACACGCCATATGAAGTCTCTGACGAAAGCGAACAATCGCTGGGCAAAACTATCCAGAAGCTGGGCAGTGGAATAAACTATGATCTTATATCCAGCACTGTTCAACACATTGATTCTCAGCTCGAAAATGAGCCGGGTGGCATCTTGATCTTCCTACCAGGAACAATGGAAATAGACAGATGTTTGTCTTCCATGAAGCATTTACATTTTGCCCACTTACTTCCTCTGCATGCTTCACTACTTCCAAATGAGCAGAAACGAGTCTTCAATCCACCGCCGCCTGGAAAGAGAAAAGTGATTGCGGCCACAAATGTTGCGGAAACATCCATTACGATCGAGGATATAGTGGCTGTTATAGATACTGGCCGAGTCAAGGAGACCCGATATAACCCAGTCGACAACATAGTACGGCTGGAAGAAACATGGGCCTCCCAAGCAGCTTGCAAGCAACGTCGAGGCCGAGCTGGACGTGTCCGCAACGGTACCTGCTTTAAACTGTACACTCGAAATGCCGAGAAGAATATGGCGTCCCGACCTGAGCCGGAAATCCGGCGTGTTCCCCTTGAGCAACTTTGCCTTTCTGTAAAGGCGATGAGAGGGATTCAAAATGTACCTGACTTCCTTGCAAACACTCTCACACCTCCAGACAATGTTGCTGTCGGTGGAGCCTTGCATATGCTCCATCGCATGGGGGCTCTTGATAATGATCAGCTAACTGCCCTTGGACGCTATTTATCCATAATTCCAGCAGATTTGCGGTGTGCCAAGTTAATGGTTTACGGTGTGATTTTTGGATGCATAGAGGCATGCTTGACCATCGCTGCTATTTTGACAGTTAAGAGCCCATTTGCAAGTCCAAGGGAAGCCCGCGAGGAAGCCAAAGAGGCTCGAAGTTCGTTTTCCAATGGAGATGGAGATCTTCTAACAGATCTCGCTGCATACCAGCAATGGGCGGACAAGATCCGTGAGCAAGGTCATCGGAAAGCTCAGGTATGGTGCCGGGATAAGTTTCTACTTCCACAGACACTGCAGGATATCTCCTCCAACCGGGCTCAGCTCCTTGGGTCTCTAAAAGATGCAGCGCTTCTGCCAGTCGATTACAAGGATCCCGATTGTGAAAGCCGATGGAATCGTCACAACAAGAACACCCGTTTAATTCGCGCCCTGATATCAGGTGCTTTTAACCCCCAGATTGCGTCGATATCCTTCCCCGAGAAGAAATTCGCTTCATCGATGACTGGAACCATCGAGCTCGACCCCGAGGCTCGCACGATCAAATACTTTAACCAGGAGAATGGCAGAGTATTTGTGCATCCCAGCTCTATCTTGTTTGAAGCCCAGGTATTTTCTGGGTCTGCACAATACGTGAGTTATTTCACCAAAATGGCAACAAGTAAAGTCTTCATACGAGACGTCACGCGTGAGTATATGTCTTACTCCCATGCTCTTATAGTGTACAGGTAATTAATCTTTTGACAGCATTTAATTCTTATGGCCTTCTGTTATTCACCGGGCAAGTGACACTAGACACTCTAGGTAGAGGTGTGCTAGTCGACGAATGGCTCCGGCTCCGAGGTTGGGCTCGAATCGGAGTCCTGATTTCTCGGCTGAGAATGATGCTTGATGAAGTGTTGAGGCGAAAGGTTGATAATCCTGGCCTCAATGTGGAGGAGGACGAAGTGATTGATGTCGTCCGCCACCTCGTCCTACTTAATGGGCAAGATTTATAAATAAGCCTATTACTATCCCGTATTCTTCGTTACTATTATTTTGTTGGATAAGTGCTATTGGTTTGCAGATAAAACAATTTCCGCAGTATATAAAAAGGGAATAGATTTGAGGTGAATTTCATATAGTGTCATGATGCTCATAGCACTGCGACGAATTACCACGGAGAAATGCTAGCCTAGATACTGGAAGATAAGATAATATACATTTGCATAATGGTTTAGCATATATGAAAGCTGAATAATGCGGAACAGCTGAAAGTACATTACTGGAAAGATAGCTTTTGTTGTATACGGATGTCATTCTTAGCCAGTCAATACCAGGTGTTCAAGGCTTTACATTTTAAAAGCAGCTAAAACATATGTTTCTATATCCAAGGAACTTTGAATTTGTTATCAAAACGGTGTCTAAGCTCGTTTCGCACGGCTTCCGCTAGACTTGACCTTTCGTGCTTCAGGTCTGTTGATGTGATGGGCTGGAATCCACTCAGTATCGTAAGTCTTTGTCGAAGGAGTTCCTTCGGTGGAAGCCGGATCTGTAGCGTCGACAGAAGAAGAAACGCCGGCTGACTTTCGGGCACGATCAGATCCCTTCCCACCCTTGCGCTTCTGAGGGAGGTAGGGTGCAATCCAGAGAGTGTAGAAGAAGTAGACAGAGCCTGCTGCGCAGGCCAGAAGGAAGAGATAGAGGAAGAGGCTGTCGAACAACCATATACGTTAGCAATTACAACGAGAAAGGTGCAGGATTATTACCCCGGGGACTGAAGGTGTTAGAAGCTTACACTTGAGGGTCAAAAATGCTGGTGTCCTGCTCTACAACACTAACAGTGCCGTTGTAAGCAGTGATCGGATGCATAATTCCTTTGCTATCGCTGATCACGGCAGCAAGGTTCAATGTCAAATCTTGAGGGTGCATGTCGTTGGTGAAGACATAAGGGAGAGTGATTTGATCTCCAGCGGGGATGTCCATGCCATATGGAGTTGCAGTAAGGTTTCGGACGTTAACGGGGAGCTTTCCTGGAGCTTCAATTGTCCAAAGGGATCCTCCAATAACGCTGACGGTTACGGTTTCAGGATCTGGGTTGGTAAATTGGAGAAGCGCCTCGGTGGGCTGGCCGTTGACAAGCTTGACCCCGAACACCTCGGCATTGGGGAATGTCGTTGATACTGTTACTCCCAGCTTGGGTACATTGGCTGGAGCCTCGGTGTTTTCCTCAGTCCCGGCCTAGCAATTATCGTTAGCTATTGGTCACATCTCTAGATTGCTTTTGGGGTTTAGATATCATACAGATCCCTGGCCATTGACGAAGACGGACTGGGCTGCGAGGAGCGCAAGAGAAAGAAAAGAGAGCTTGCCCATATTGACGGTAGATGCGCCAGGAAACGGCCACAACAGAGAAAAGGGAGACCGGCAAGAAGGAGAAGGAGGAGGAGGAGGAGAGGTGGTGAGCAGTTCGAGTTTCGGTGCGATGTTTGGTCTTGTGGCTTTTTACGCATTTTCTCCACGTATACAGAATCGCGATCGCTGAGTCAGCAAGCGCTTATCCGCGCGGCTTCAATAATCGCTAATGAATAAGTTAATTAGCGCGCTAATCTCTTATTTGAAACAGGAAGAAGCAAGCGCTTACAGACGAGTCCGCGAGCATCGTTCTTTATACCACCAGCTGCTGCGGCTTCTGTTTCTTTATCTAGCTATTTCTGGAGGGCCAGATATATTTCCCTTGTCCCGCTCGATATCACAATTCCTTTCCCGTCTTTCATATTTTTTGTAAGTGTCCGAAGATGGCTTCTGTATCCGCCCAAGCTCAGGAGTTCTTCAACCGGTACGAGCAATTGAAGGCTATCGAACAGACCAAGAATCTTTTGATAGAGGTTAGTAGTAGTTTTTCTCGAATCCTAGCCAAAAAAATTGCCCAATTCCTCCCTCAATTCTGAATATTATGTTGTAAATTTTAACTCAGCTGTCCTGCAGGATCTACTTAGTAGAATTACAGAGCTTGAAGATGCCTATCAGCGAGAACGGTTAGATCATGACAGAGAAACCAGATTTAATCGCGAAGTGCAGATGCATGAAATGGAGCTTATGGAACAGTTGACGAGATTTAAAACTGCTATGGTATACCTCTCTTTAAGCCTATATGTCTTGAATCCAAAGCTAAGATAGTTCTCAATAGGACCAAGAACCCTTTGTAATCGCACTTCTAGATGGCGATGGCATGATATTTCGAGACTCTTTAGTTCAGCAAGGAGAAAAAGGAGGAAAAGACGCCGCGAATCAACTATGGTTAGCTATACGTGACTACACATCTGAGACCTTCACCAACATTCATTCGCCGAAGATCGTTGCGAGAATATACGCAAATGTGCGAGGTTTAGGGGAAACTCTCTTTAAAGCTGGGATTATTGATAAGCTTTCTGTCTTTGAGGACTTCGTTCGTGGATTTAATGGAGGCAGATTGCTCTTCGATTTTGTCGACGTTGGGAGCGGTAAGGATAGAGCAGATGATAAACTTGCAGGCAAGTTATCCAGCTTCTCACATTACCATCATGGTTATATTACTCGAAGCAACAAACTAATAAGCTTCTCTCACAACAATAGAAACTCTAAAACTGAATTTGTACAATTGCCATTGCCAACAAATATTTTTGGGTTGCTCCCACGATAACGGTTACGCACGCCTCCTTGAAGATAATCTAGCCGATATAGAACTCACAAGAAGAATAACTCTCTTGGAGGGATTCCCCTTTGAGAGGGAGCTTGCCTCGCTCATAGGCTCGTATAGAGTGACGAAGTTTGAGACCTTATTCCGGGAATCCAAAATAACTCCCTTATCAAATCATACTTGGGAAAACGCCGTCACCACCTCAAATTCATATTCATCATCAAATATTGGACACCCCAATTCTCGGGCCGTGAGCAGAACTCCCTCGAATTCCAACGGAACAGCAGCCACCACTTCTGCTGCCTCTGCTACTTCGGGCAGCAGCAGTACCACACCAGCGACGTGGGCATCTACTATTGCAGCCAGTGCAAGTACAACATTCAAAGATTTAACACCATCCAAACCAAGTACCCCGTCTCCGCCGGTTATTGAGCGCAACAAGTATGGACAAAGAGTCGATCGGATAGATTTTAAAGCCGCACCAAAAGACGAATTAAATCGTGTGAAGAAGTTGAAGCTATGCAACTTATTTTTTCTTCTAGGCGACTGTCCCAACCCGAATTGCTATCATACCCATGACTATAAACTTGGCAAACAGGAGCGAATGGTGCTGCAGGTAGTGGCTAGAATGACACCCTGCCATTTCGGTACCGAATGTGACGATGCTACCTGTATTTACGGTCACCGCTGTCCTCTCAGCGAGGCTGGAAAGAAAGATTGCTACTGGGGATCAAATTGCCGATTTGATGCTGACGCCCATGGAATTGATACCAATATTGTTAAGCTTACCAAAGTTTGATTGGGGTCGCTATGTGTTCCTGTTCTCTCCATTAAATCTCGAATATCCTCCTATTTGTTTTTTAAGCAAGTTACTTAGTTCTGTCCGATGTGATTGCTCGGGGGACTTCCATTCGTTTCTTGTGTACCTTTATGGGTGAGGTTATTTGAATTCGGTCTTTTTATTTCTATATGCAGTTTTACTCCCACATAGTCAAACAGGACCTTTAATTATAACAATATCAGGCAGTTAAAACAGAATTGGCCTTTGAGCTTTCTAACAAACGAATAGATGAAACAAAATATAATTAAATAAATTAACAAAGGGCACATAGAAAAAGGTTCCGGGTACTGTTGATGGGCCCCTGAAAATGATTGCTGCAAATGAAAGACAACGCACAGACATGCAAAGGGGGGGGGGGGGGGGGGGGGGGGTATATTTATAACCAAGACAAAGCAGAAAACTCGCTAAATAAAGAATGGCCAGCACAGAAGGATCAGGAAATGGCAGTTTGGAACATCTGAAAACGTCTTTCCCACCCTAGGGAAATAGGGTCAGTCTCTTTGTTTCCGGTCTTGACACCGTACTCTTTAATGCAGCAAGTAAAAGGTTTTGTAGAGACGGTATCTGCTTTTCCGGAATAGAAGGCATCTATGTCAGCGCTTTTGCGCTCCTCCAAATCACCCCATAGAACAAATAGCTTCTCTCGGAGATTAACTAGTGCATCCGAGTTATCACGTAGGCTAGATATACAAGTTAGTGATAGGGTTAGTCAGGAGTAGAATATGGTATTAGCAATAACGTACTTAACAGCGTCCATCTGTAGCAGAAACTCTGCATCAGAGCCCCAGACAAAGAGCGGCATGCGCTCACGCGTCTGTCCTGAAGGGAGGGGAGGAATATTTGGACCGCCGTCTTCAACAAGGAGACAGAATCGCCACTCCCACCACCGACTGGCGTCAGGGTCACTGTTATCAGATACGTCGTCTGTATCGTCAGAGAGGAGGGCACAATCTCTATTATATAGGACAGAAAAATCTTCTAGGTTATGGGGGAAAAAGTCAACCACGCGGACAGAGGAGCGATAGCGGAAGTTTTGGAATGGTAGCTGGAATTCGACACCATCACAGCCCTTGAATGCATGGGTATCGGCGTCTAGAATGTCCCTGATCAATCGACAAGGGATGGCAGGGTTTGATGCGCGTACTGTTCCGTGGCCATTAGATTGTCCGACTGATAAGTATGTAGAAAGGTTTGCAAAATACATACTATGGGGGTTTAGCTCATCCCTTTTCGTCTGGACCAGACGAGGGAAATCTGGCTGGTCGGGGTCTTTCTTCTTCTTTCTCTTTTCCTCCTTTAGTTTCTCCCGTTTCTCCTGCTGCCTCTTCCTTTTCCTGTCCCTGACAGGGTCAGAGCCAGGCAGCTTTCGTGATTGATTATTTTCACTGAAGTCATTGGGAAGTTCTACGCGCATTTTTTTCCAATACTGCACTTTTCGTTTAACTAACTGCATGAAATACAGGTCAGTTTCCGTATCACTGATAATATGTACCTGTATTTTGTGAGGGTATTTCTGATCAGTATGCAAGGCGCCTTCCATCCGGCCAGAAATCTTGTCCGCCTTGATGCGCACGTTATAGAGAGTAACATAGTCCTTTTCCTTGACATGCTCTCGAGCGTATTCGGCGTGCGGAGTGAAGAGTGTTATATGGATAGTCATTCTCCCATAAGGGCCCGGCCATTGCCTGTCCTTGTCCTTTTTGATGTATTGATACGGGTAGTCATCATCGTCCATGTCGTTAGAGGGTTGGATATAATTAAAAAGATATTCATTGGAGGTATAATCAGTGACGTAAAGTATGAACCTGTCATCAGCTTCCCTAAACGTTTTGACAACCTCGCCGGTGATGTCTACAAATTTCGAAAATTTGGCATCCTTGAGTAGGCAGAACTTGCGGCTCGGAAGAGCGCCCTTTTCTTTCTGGCTTGGAGTTGGATTCGGGGTATGCTGCTTGCCATCGCCATCGTGCAGGCTCTGGGAGATATTTTGAGCAGAGATATCATTTTTCAGCAACCGTGACGCATACTCCCTCTCTTCTCTGGTTGGGTTAAAGCACCCAGGCTTCCTCTTGTTCGAGTTATCTCCTTTCCACAGAACCCAGGCAGCACTGTCTGCATCTGAAGACACGTACATACGGATACCTCTGACAATACTTGGCTGTTAGAAGGCATTAGCACGCTACCAAGAGTAATAACCCTAGAGAGATATATAGACTGATATAAATACCAACCTTGATATTCCGCAGCAAAATGACATCGCCTACATCAGGGTCCGGGAGATGATCCCTGTTATCATGAAAGTACTTTACCTTGAGGCCCCCCCATGGCCCAGAGGCAACGTCGCGGTCCTTGACCGTGAAGGTCGACATGTAAGACGAGCCTAACGTTCTGGTCGGACTGAGAGCATCCACAACGACGGCGATGATGCTGACAGCACCAGACACTCTTGACTGCGCCGTAGCCACGTCCTCGAAGCCGGGAGGCAGCCGGTCCATCGTCTCGTTCTCTCAATCTCCTGGAACCCCCCCCGTCGTTTGTACTGTTTGTAGCTGTGTTGTAGCTGCTGGCTTAACTCAGGCTCAACCGTGGTCGAGACGCAGCCGAGCAGCCATTCAGACGTTATTCCAGCTCGTCTAAAGCCCTAGCGGCGTCCCCATCGGTGCACTCGCTGTATCGTCTCCGTCTCCAGTCTCTATCCGCCGTCTATCCTGCCCACAGACGTTGTTTGCCGCCTGGTGAAGTCGTTGATTAACCTGGTCTTAGTAGTTAAACTTGGGTGGTGAACTAGTTAAAAGTTAACTTAAGGGAGAGAGCTGTGAAAGCCAAGCCGAAGCCCACCGAAGAAGAAAAACACCCAAAAAGAAAAAAAAAAAACACCACCACCACCACCACATCTTCTTCTTCCACTCGTCTTCTTTCTTCCTCCTCCCTTCGCTTCACAACGCCCAACGTCTCCTGTCGACCGTCTTGCTCTCCGCGCCGTCTCGTCTCCCGCCAGGCTGTTCGTCTCTCCTACGCTCGTCGCTCTCTGGTCTTTTATTCTAGCAGCTGACTCGCGATCCAGGCCAGAAAAAAAGCACACATCTGTGACAGGGACAGCCCCTCACTAATAAACAACCCGCAAGAACCAGCCGTGGAATAGATAAACGGCATCGAAGCGACCACCATCATGGCTGAACGCTACATCCCCGAGCATCGTCGTACCCAGTTCAAGGCGAAGGGCACATTCAAGCAGGATGAGCTCCGTCGTCGCCGCGAGGAGCAGCAGGTCGAGATCCGCAAGCAGAAGAGAGAAGAGAATCTCGCCAAACGAAGAGGTATTGGCGCCGGGATAGGAGCCAGTGATGGCGGCATGCTCGCAGACAGTGACGATGAAGCTGGTCCCATCGAAACTGAGGTATGTCTGCTCTGTTTTCATCACTCCGTTGAACGTGTTTTCTTAGAGGCGTTAAACTCCCATCTACACCCCTGACATACCTTTTTGCCTTTTCTTTTTCTTTTTCTTTTTTTTTTTTATACATCATGGAGGGCTATACCACGATGTTATTATTATTCTTATCAGTTATCATTATTGTTCATACACTATGAGGCTGGAACTGAACTCTTACTGACATATACCAGTTGGATGCAGAGCTCCCAGAGATGGTCAAGGGCGTGTTTTCAGACCAGATCGAACTGCAGATTCAGTCCACCACCAAGTTTAGAAAACTCCTCTCCAAGGAGAGAAACCCCCCAATTGAACGTGTTATCGAGACCGGTGTTGTTAGCCGTTTCGTCGAGTTCCTACGATCTCCCCACACTTTGGTCCAGTTTGAAGCCGCCTGGGCCCTGACCAACATCGCTTCTGGATCCGCGCAGCAGACTCAGGTCGTTATCGAAGCCGGAGCCGTGCCGATATTCGTTGAACTCCTCAGCAGCCACGAACCTGATGTACGGGAGCAGGCCGTCTGGGCCCTCGGAAATATCGCTGGTGACAGCCCACAGTGCCGCGACTTTGTGCTTGG